ATGCTAGTATAGTAGTATAGATGAGTATACTCAAAAATTTATAATCCATCAAGATTCGTACCTTATTGTGATATCTTTTTTGTCTAAAAATATTATTAGGTATAACATTATAATTTATAAATCGAGCCCTAATCATTACAAAATACTGTCTGAGATAGAATAATTATACCTACTCGTATACCTATTCAAAAAATATTGACCKGGGACCAATTGTCCGCGTATAAAATTATGACGGGGACCGATTGTCCGCATACGGCATTTGTATGCGGGGACAAATTGACGGTTAACCCTTGTAAACTTGATGGTCGAGGCACAACATTGAGGCCTTGAGGTCCATAGACATAATAATTTATTATTATGTCTATGTTGAGGTCGTTGAGGGATCCATAAAAATATAATATATTTACAATATAATATTATTATCTATGAAGGGATCATATTTTGTGTTTTGTTCCTCGAATTTTTTTTTTTAAATTCAATATTAATTTTCTAAACGTTACTTTATACTTTTTAAACAATGCATATTGACATATTGTTTATCGTTAAAAATTTGATCCTATCAGGCTTTCAATATTTTTCCATAAAATAATATTTAACTCAAGGTGTCCATTAAACTGTTATTTAAATGTTCATTGTTCAACAGTATTATTCTTCCAGTTAGATTAAATTTCAGTGTTTCCCATATTATATCTTTATTTCAATTAATTTTATGTAGGTACTATGGTTTATTTGTTCCACAAGATTTTTATGTTATAATATAAAACATTTGGAACAATTATAATGTTTACTCACATATCACACATAATATTATATTGTGTTAATTCAGATATTAATCAGAAAATAAATGCGAAAAAAATACCTAAACTCACTGATATAGTGATATGTCAGCATCATTTTATCTGTATGCTAAAAAAATTTGTCAGTACCCAGTTCTGAGTCACTCGGTAGTCAGTAGTCATTGTGTCTTGTGTCGTATTCGTATGTCTTTAAATTTTAATATTTTATAATTACGACAATAACAACTTATGAGGAACAATTATAATGTTCTATCGATATTTAATGAAAAAAAAAAACATTTCAAAGTAAAATGTATTGTAATAGCTAAAGAATAGTCAATATTTTTGAAATATTCTACAATGTTTTATTATAGAATAATAAAATATACTAAATACTAGAATGATGGAAATTCAAAGTATAATATGTTATTAAATTATCCTTACTCMTTATACCTAATAAGAAAATCGCTCTTTTCTGTAAAATTTGAAATGTAAGTTTTGTCAATTTTTTTATTCCACCCTAAGTTGGTCTCAGGGTAACCACGAGTATACCAAGTGCTTATTAAACTGTTCTGAAAAGCACGGATTATTGCCAATATTAATCCTGAAAAATTGTGTCCAAATTTATTTATTCATTTAAAGGGTACTTYCCACGAGTTATCATTCATTCCTCAAAGTTATTCTTTGATAAATTCTATCCTGAATAGTACGGGTTCTGGTAATTATTATCTTGATTTTTACGTGGGCCCTGTATTTTAGATTAAGGTATTTGAATATATTGATATACAGTGGAGCCCACAGGTTTACCACAAACCATCAGTGCAGTTATAACTATAGGGCCCCCAAATTTATTTGTTTGCATATTTGGCACTGCGGCAGTGCCACTGCCAACTCTAATATGCTTTATTCAACGATCTAAATATTCAGATGGACCAGATGAATATTTATGTATTTATAGTGTCTGATCAAGAGACCTGCAGAGTGCCAGAGTGTGGCCCCCGAATGTATGTAGGCCCCGGGACCTACGAGAAACCAGTGCAATTGCATCACTTGTTACYCTACGTGGGCGCCACTGTTGATATATAGATAACTTGGTGTAACCTTGAATCACATTTTCGGGGTATAAGATCGGACAAACATATTTTAACAGGAAAAAAATSGATAATGTCAAATGTTTATTTATATAAATATATACTACCTAGTCTATATTTAGCTCAAAAAGAGTGAAAATGATTATCAAATAAATACCTACATATTTATTATTACATTTTAAAATATAAAATATATCTTTAAAATCCTCGAATATTTATATGGCTTACGATGTAGGTATGTAATATATAATTTTTATACTTTTYGAGTTTACTAAACAAACATAACAAACAATAAACATTGTATAAATAATAAGTAGGTGCGAGGTAGTTAGGTATTTAAGCTTTTAGTTAAGTAGTTAGGTAGATACCATTCATATTGAAATAATTGTATGTAAGAAAATCGGCAATACATTTATGAATAGGAGTATAGGACATAGCCACATAACACATAAGTAAATAAAAAATGTGTAAGTTAGATCTAATATACCTGTTCTGTTGTTCAAAGTTTTGTTACTTTTTTAGAATCTTATAACCTGCGGCCTGTACTTATTTTTAATTAACATACTATGATGATACACCATACCTAACCTAAGGAAATTATTAAAAATAATATTATTTAGCAGCATTTTGAATGCACGATGTCAACAACGAACGGTGGACAAAATTTGGATTGGCTATATTAGCTATATTAACGCTATATAGATACCAGCATAATGTCAAATATGGACTGTAGATATTCCACTGCATTCTAAGTGTTAAAAATTAATTTTTGAAGTACTTACTAACTAAAACCTGTTCTGTTTTATTTAATTTCATTCAAAAAAATTACATATATTTTTTTTGTGTCTGATCATTTAGACGATTATTATTGATATTAGTTAAAAATTGATGAAGCCCATGTAGGTGCATATAAATCGGTCCACACCATCTTAGCTCCTTTATGACTGAACTTCTCTAATTTCTGGTTAAAACAGTGTTACAGCTCCTATAATTATTTTATGCACAATGATGAGTGAATTGGGAAGCTAAGAAGCTTGCTTCAAGCCACTAATTTATTCTTTTATATACTACTTATATACTTATTCTTTTTGTACTTTATCCGTAACATATTACAGTGAAAACTCTTTATAACGAAACTCGTTACAACGAAAAACTCTATATTTCGTAAATAAAATTAAGTTAACTTATAATGGTTGGTTTGATTTAAAACCTATTAAGTACTCTCTATTACGAAAATTCTCAATAACAAAATAAATCACATGGTCCCTTCAGATTCATTATAGAGAGTTTTCACTGTAATATGTTACGGATAAAGTACAAAAACGGTTAGTGACGTTAGTGTACACATTACCCGGGTAATGTGAACATCATCCATATCGACCATATGAACAGTGTAATGTATACATTATCTGCCTTAAATATTATGTAGTATYCAATCAATTTATACATTAACGGTATTCCGGTGTGCTGTAGATAAAGTATTCGTATAACTATAATCGTAAACTTATAACGCCGGTACAATATGACCAACGCATCAAACACTTAAAATTGAATAGATTATACAGTCTTTCTATAGTAGCCATCGTGATAGGCCCCATTTTTCATTAGCTGTACAAATCGAAGTCCCTCTGAGGCTCTGACCATGATTTACAGTTATTTGTTTTCATCCATGTTATCAACATATTTTGTATGTCTTGGTTTGCTCTTCGACACTACCTTATTGTGACTGGCTGCGGCGTGGCTTTCCGTGAACGATTTTCAGTGTGTCCCTGAATCTCTTTTCTATGGTCCCACATTTCTTTTAAGTCTGCTATTATATTATTTACAAACTCGCGGCCATTATCAGACTGTAATATCATCGGAGCTCCGAAAATATAAAATAGGTATGTCGATAAGATGTTTTGCAACTTCTTCTGCTCTCTTTGTTTTTAAGGGTCTTAATTATTGAACGAATTTAGTTAGGTGATCCTGATATACCATATAAACCGGAACTCTCCATTTCCCTGCGACTGCATATCAATCAGGTCCACTTGACACCTACTATTTATTTCCGAAAACACAATTGGTTTATATATATATATCCTTGTTTATAGATTTTTGTTKAGATTGACACGATTAGTAGTAAAGAAAATAAATAGACAACGCTTTTTGTAGTGTCTTTTTTTATACTTTTTTTTAACTTCAGCAGTCATGCGGTGTTTTCCACCATGCCCAATGCTCAAATGTATATCGTGTAGCACATCATAGATATTTTCATTAGTAACATAGCAGGTACCAAATGTTTGTATTACCTTCCAACAACGGCAATATTAATTTCTTTTTCTCCAATAATAATGAGGTCGTATATATTTTCAAAATTCGATGTGCCTTATTAATTTTTATTCCACTTGATCCCACATTTTTAATTTCCGAAATTATTTCGTTATACTTAACTGCCGATMAATAAACTGAATTATTATTTTTTTCATTGACTATTTTATAAAAACATATAACATTTTTCGCGTGAAGTCATTTTAAAAACCTATTATATGTACGACGAACTAGCACTGTACTAAATATTATTCCGTGTGTTTCTTCATAAACATATTTTATCGTATACATTTTATCTAAATACTTTACGTTTACCCACTCAGTCGTAGATAATGTGAAAAATACCCGAGTAATGTACCAAATAAACGTTTTATAAATATTATTTTTACTTTATTCAATATAGGTACAGGTAATGCACACATTACCTGGATAATGTGAACACTAGCTATATTTTGCACTTTACCCTTAACATATGTACTACTTTTGTATCATTATATATTATATATAAGCAGAAATAAAATATAATTCTGTAACTTTTTTTTCATTATAAAATTGTAATTTTGCAGCTAATTTTATTTTATTTTACAAAACATAAATAGGTTCTTTCAAAAAACAATTAATAGATAATTTATGATTTATGTAGGATATTTAATATAAACAGACCGAAAGAGGTGCTGCTATTCGGTTGCGAGATACCTATTATAGCTACTATATACAGGGTGATTCTTTTATCAAACAGCGCTCATTATTTCAAAAACTATTGACTTTTTTCAAATTTTTAAATCCATCTTGTTCTAGAACTATATATTTTTTTAAATATTTTCACCCTTATATTTATCAGGTAAACCATTATCAACTTTTGATTTTCAAATGACAACCTGTACTTGAAATTTCATAAACTAAAAAGGTTATTTTTTCAATGAATTTTATGTTTAAATTTTCATTTTTCGTTAATCCGTTTACAAGATATAGCCTCCCAAAGTTGGGTGGTTTTTGTGTGTATATTAGGTGGTATTTACACACAAACATCATAATATGAGTGTTGTTTGATAAAAGAATCACTCTGTATAAACATTTTATGAAGGTAGAACGAAAAATTAGGAATAAATAGTATATAGTGAATAATATATGTACTATATTCATCAATATGCACCATATAAGATCAATGATATTTAAATAACCTTTCACGATTTATACTTGTGAAATTGGTTTCTCCTGAGCTCTATTCAAATTAAGTACCACTGAATCTGATATTTCATGACTAATATAGTTCTCATTGAAAATTTGTTATTTAATTTATGTCTTATTTAATAAAACTAATAAATTAGTATAGGTAAATAAATCAAAATTATATTGCAATAAGTTACTAACGTCTAACTTATTATTCAAAATAAATGTACTTAACTATGTGAAATTTAGATAGTTTGAGACATCCTCTTGTATACACTTTGTATTGGTGATAATGCAATTTTAGTCTCAATTTCAATTTTAATTATTCTAGTTGATTATACAAAATATGGAATATAATGTTGGTGTTAATAGTAATGATAACAACAAAATATAAAAAAGAACCAATCATTGTATTTTATTACATCAACAAAGTACTTCTTTAAGTACTACAATACTGTGAAACAAATTTTAAATTTCCTTTTCATAGTATATGGTTTAACAGCTATTACATAGAAAATGTACCCAAAGTAAATGCGCTATGACAAAAAATAGAAAAAAAATTTGGTAAAAAATGGTGATAATTCCGCTAAACTATAAAAAAAAAAAAAAAAAAATACATGCTTTTATTTATGAATATTATACGCCAATTATATTAAAATAATAATAACTAAAGGTCAAAAAAAATTAATAATAATAATAACAAAAGGAAAAAAAATCATATATACAATAATTTAACAAATTTAGCTAAAACAATAAGGGAATTAGGAAGTTCTTTGATTAAAAAACAAAATATGAACATAAACGATGAAATAAAAGCATTGATTATACATAGTTAATAGTTTATGTATAATAAATGATAGTGACCAAAAAAAAATTTTATTTACAATTTATTTTACCTTAGTACAATTCTTTAAATAATAATCATTGTAAACATACATTATTATTATTATTAATTATATGGTAACAAACATCATAATATTATATTTATGATGAGATTTGCTAAAAAAAATTTACATAAATGAAGGCACAAGAAATTGCATTTTGCCGTTTGACCCAAGTTTACTCTTTGATACGTACGTACAAAAAAAAAAAAAAAAAATACAAGACAAATAATAACATTTATTAAATTATAAATTAAACTTGGTCTGTTGACTAGCTTAACAAATCAGATTAAATTTTCCATTTGAAAAATAAAACAATGATTATTACTTTGATCTAGGAATTGTAATATTAGTTTTCCAATAAGTTATACATGGGTAAACATAGTATATTTTTACAGTATTTAAAGACAAGTAGTTTCATAAAACATTATAAGACACATTCTGTAATCGGATACATGTCTATGTAAAAATTATAATTTTTTTATTTTTTATTTTTACACTTTTTTTAATAAAAATTTACTTTTAGTATATACATTGTTAAGACTTGAAATGTCTTTATCACAAAGTCTAGTAGAAAAAATCCCTGTCAGTCAATTATCACGTATGGTAGTATGACAAGCGGTTCACCAGTATCGTTTGCCCTAGTTAAGACCTCATGCCACTCTTTAAACGTTTCACTGTTTTCCCAGTTACCAGTAACACCTTCTATTTGAGCTCCGTCCACCAAATCAGTAGGTGACAGAGGGGGCCGTGGAGGTGATGGTGGAGGAGAACTCCAGTCTATGGCTTCTAAGTCCAAAGGAGGTAATCTATTATATATTTCCTGTATTTGACGGTCGATGTCTGCAACTTTAGGTCGACTAGGTTTATCAACTTTTGTTATAGACGGTTCGTCCTGGAACTCTTGTACAGGTATTAGTGGTTTTTCCTCCAACTGATAATTTTCATCATCCTTTCGCAATGATGCAATTATTTCTTGGGTGGTTTTTAATTTACTGGCACCAACGCTCACCATTCTTTCCAAATCCACAGGATTGGTAGGTTTTATCCCCAGTTTTGAAGAATTTTTGCCCCCTTTTTTACGCCCACGTTTTTTTGGACCCTGTGGTTCTAAAATAGGATCAGGTTCTGGACTGGGCTCATTAACAGGACTAGGTACTGATTCTGGTGTTTTTTCAACTGGTGGTGACTTGATGGTTGAGTTCAGAGAAGGCATTCCATTTAATTTTGGTTTCTGTATAATACAAATAATAATAATATTACAAACATATTGAAGTATAAATTTAATAAGACAAGTTTCATACTTTGAGAGGAGCTGTATATTGATCAGGTGAAGTCATAGGTCTTTTACTATGGTTGCTAAGCATGCCATTGGGCTGTGAGGAAGGAAGCTTAGCCTGTTGTATGACTTGAGCACTATTTATCATTAGGTTACGCCATCTCTGTACAAGCTCCTTTGCACGTTTGGCCAACTGTTTGTCCACAGTTTTACGTCGTAATTCATTAACCATTTTACCAATACGAGTTGCCTAATAAACATATCATAAATATTATATATAGTAAATTTATAAACTAAAAGATGATAAATAATATCTACAATAATAATAAAATCACACAATTTAAATTTGAACATATTATATAATACTAATTTAAGTATTCAAATATTTTTAAACAAGAAAAATTGTAAATGTATAGAAATAATCTTGTTCAATTATAATTAATTTTTTTGTTTTAATTTATTACATGAATAATAACAATGTATTCTATGAAATGTATTCAAAGTTTTGAAAAATAAAATTATAATTAAAGGACCCCAAGGTTTTTTAATCTTATAATATTGTAATTTGAGATATGTGTATATAAGCTGAAAAATGGTATTTTATAACTCATAAAAATAAAAACATTTACCTCGAGCACCTCCGTGGTAACCGGTAGTTGTTCAAGGGTTGAAATAACCTCGAACACTGTAGACATGTCGGTAACCTGGAGCAATACACAATTTAAAAATATTTTATTAAAACATATAATACACATGGTACATTATTATACACAATTTTATTTATGATGAAATGTTGGCTGAGTAGAACTTGTTTTTTTTATGAAACAAGTAGCACTTCATTTTGGAACTTTAAAAACACATCAAGAGGATAAAAAATATAACACCATACCCAAGTTATACTAATATTACACCAATAAAGAGAATTTGAATACGCAAAATATTGTTAAGAATATCAAGAAAAATTCTTCATCTGGTAACTTATATCTTTAGACAACAAAGATTTCTATAAAGATACCAAAATATGTATATAAAAAACAACTTTATCTTGGTTATATAAAATCACAATTAAATGTTTATCTATATATTTTATAGAATTGTACAAAATATCTTCTAATAAAATAAAATTAATTTTTAAATCCTTATCCTTGTAAGGAAGGAAACATATAATACTATATATTTATAATATTGAATAATCTTTTTATTAAGATTAAATTAATATTTACAAGGAACCATCAAAATTTAATATATTGTTATAACTTAATTATAACATACTTATTTGTACATAATATATTTAATAATTTGATACTCAAATGTTAGAATATAGGTACAGCAGTTATAAATTGAAACCAACAAACGGTGATTAATTATATCTTAGTTTGCAATATTGTAGAAAACAGAACAAAAAAGATAAAAAGGAAATGGTCACAACAATTTTTATTATTGACAATTTAGGTTATGTATATTTTTTCAAAAACACATGATACAAAAACATTATTATAAAATGTAACTAAATTGAAACTTAATTTCATTAAATAACACATATTAAGAATAACAAGTCTTTACATTTATAGTATTACAAATTGTTTTAAACCTTTTTAATACTTTTAAGGTTAATTATAATTTCAAAAAAAAAAATATAATTCAAATAATATTTTTTTACAACAATTTTGGCAAAATATCAACTATAGATAATCAAATAGAAAGGTTATTAAGGTTATGATCTTAAGATCCAAGACTAAAGATAGCAACAAATTAATTTAAAAATATGCATAGATTGAAAATGACTTAATTAAACGTGTGGCAGTAATTTTAATTTTATTTCAGAGAAATAACCGTAATCATTAATGCATTTATAAATATTAAGGCATTTAATATTTTAATATGTTAACACTTATATCATCTTAACCCTTAGGTACAAAATAAATTAAAATTAAGCCAGTTCTAAAATAATCAATTTAATTAATTGCCTTATTTTATTTCTATTACAAATTAATTAGAAGTTCTTTAATGTTCTATTAAAACATATTGGAAATTTCAGTTACCAGAAAATCTGTTTAAACTATTAGTCAAATTATTCTGTTTCCTTGACCTAAAATGAAATAGTTAGGTATACGAAAATAAAAATAAGTAGATAGGGTGAAAAAAATCGTTTATTACTCATGATCTTAAGTACCTATTTACGTTTAAATTCGACAATAATTGTGACTGGAATCGGGAGTTGATAGTACCAATTAATAATAACAAAAAGAACAATAAAGCGAATAATTTGGAAAATCAATCATTTCATGGCGGCAACAAAAGTAAATAATTTACATTGAGAATATACGAAGCGCGTGTCGTTAAGGTTGTTGTTAAAAATTATATCGACATATTGAGCAGGGGAGTAATATTTTTAACGAAATCAACGGTAGTGGAGACGAAAATTATAATAGTAAAATGTACGGGATGACCAAGGCGTTAGACATTAGCATTTAGCACTAAGTGCTGTCAAGAGTACAGGGGAACGTTTGAGAAAATTGTCGTTTCCGGGGCGGTGCGGTAACATGGTGGTAGCCACGGCCTCGGCATATTTACGAAACGCGTGCACATTTTCCCAGGCATTTTCCTAGGCAACGGCCCTCGTAGTCGATCAAACACGCAGGGCCAATCGGAAACGATCGAAAACAAAAATAATAAAAATCTAGAAACGATTAAATGTATACCGAGGGTCTCTACGAGAATTACAATCACGTTGTACTGCAAGAGGAAATGGGGTGTTTCATGATCACCTATTAGTTTAAAAAATGAAAAATATAAAAATACAGAAGTCAGTCAGGGGCCAACAGCTGCTAACGGGAGATATATGTTATATAATATTATCATTATTGTAAAGTGGAACAAGACGCTCGGACGCGATCGCGAATAATGCAAAGCAAACGAACGAAAAATCGCAGAAAGCAGAATGACGCGTACGAGAAAGGAACGCCGTGGAGCGCGCGTGCGCACTGCCGACGTTTCGTAGGCCACGGCCAGACCGGACGAAATGTCATCAGTGTGGCGCGGCAGCGTACGGTACGTCCGCCGTCGTCGACAACCTATTTTCGGCCATTGTACACACGACAAACGCACCGTCGGCCCCGCGCGCCACGACCGTACAACATACACGCACACACGCGCTCGCGCATTTACACACACACATAACCTCACAGACGTACGGCGCGCGGCGCGCCACACGGCCGTGGCCGTCAGTCGGCGGCGGAAAATCGGTTTACGTTTTACGCACACGCACACGCGCCGGCGGACGGACGACGGCAGTCGGCAGGGGTCCTGGTGGCCGCGCGCCAGTCGTCGACGGACGTAATATCGCGGACGGACGACAACGGGGGAAACCGGAGACGTCGACAGCGATGGATGGTCCGCTGTCGATCGCACTCGCGTTTTCTCTCGTCGTCGGAAGWCCGCGATAAACAATAATTTTATCAATAATAAGTAATAACGGCAACGACGATGATCGGAACGCGCCACCGAGTAAACCACGGAAAAAGACAATCACGAACGGTACTCGTAACAACATGTAAATATCATGTTTCAATAATAATAAATAAAATTAAAAGTTAAAAATTATAAAATAATAAGGGAGTTTGTAAAAATAATATAGTCTTACATTGTATTCATCGTCCAATGCGCTCAATAACCTATGTTTTATGTCGAAAAAAGTCTTCTGCATGAGGCCCTATTCGGTCTCAGTTCGGAGAGCACGTCGGCCCACATCAGCACGCACAGCACAACTTA